AAAGCTATTGTTTCGGAAGTTATTCAGGACATCACGGTCAGAAACGAAACAATCAAAATTGCAGACTCTTACCCAGGAGTTTTTCAATTCCTGGACAGTAAGAGTAAATCGGAGTCGTTGAAGACAATGGATAAAGGACTTTGGCGAATTCATGGAAACCATAAGAAAGGAGCAAGAAGGCAACAGGAAGCGCAAGCCGTCGTCTTCCTTGCCCTTTCGTGGTAGGGAAACAGCATGGCGCCCTGTTTCCTTCGTTCCCCGCCATCCAAGCACCTACTCCAACTACTGGAACAAGTCGTACACGGGTCGTAGGCCCTATTCGTATCCAAGGCGTGACCTACTTCCCTCACGCAACGCAAGGGATTTCCGCAACACCTACAAAGAAGAGGAGAACAGGAGGAAGTCCTCCTGTAACCTCTGTGGAAGAGGAGGAATGACACTGGGTCAAAGAGTGCCCAGAAAACCATTGGTGAGTTTTTTAAGTGGTTCTATTCATAATTTCCTGAAGAGTGGCTGGCTCTCGAAGCCTTCGCAGCTGGTCTCGACCACGATATTGCACGGGTACTCTTTACCCTTTCACTCAGAACCGTCTAGACCAGTAGACGCGGGCAACAGAAAGTCAGCTCTCAGGCATAAAGACTTCGTGTATACAGAAATTACAGAGCTCCTCTCGACCGGAGCGATTTGCGAAGTGAACAGCGATTCGCGTAACCTGCTGCATATTCATCCGCTATCAGTAGCAAAAGGTAAAAAATTAAGATTGGTTTTGGACTTATCTCATTTGAATAAGTTTCTTGATGTACCCAGAATTAAATTTGATGATATGAAAAGCATTCTCGATGTGCTTCCTGACCAGGGCTTCATGGCCACCTTTGACCTGAAGGCTGGCTATCATCATGTTCGAATTAAGCATAGTCACACCAATTATCTGGGTTTTCTGTGGGAAGGCAGATACTACAAATTCCTATGCTTACCATTCGGACTTTCCTCAGCTCCGCACATCTTTACCAAATTGCTCCGTTGTTTCATCAAAAAGTGGAGAGCTCAGGGTAAAGGAGTTGCCATATACATAGATGATGGAATCATTTTTGAACAATCCAGAGAAGCATGTGCGGAAACAACTTCTATTATCAGGTCCGATCTCACTCGCACAGGATGGTTCTTTGCAGAAGACAAATGCAAGTGGTCTCCTTCGCAGACGTGCAACTGGTTAGGTTTTCAAATTGATTTGTCATCAATGATAATATCTGTCTCAACAGAGAGGTTAGCCAAAGCTTTGGAAAGGCTGAAAATCATAACCAGTTCGATTCACCTTCGCTATATGATAGATTACGTTGGGCCGGTACAATTTCATCCATGCATATACTTTTGAACTGCGTGGATAAACGTAATACAAGGGCAGTAGCTAGGGAAGTTGCAGCGGCCCAAAACCAGAGTTGGTCGTTGTTTAAGAAGTGGCCTAAAACTAGGGAAGAACAGTTTGAGCTTCGCTATTGGGCACTTAAATTGCTAGCTATTCCACAGTTGCGCCTCAATACTATGATCGAGTCTTGTACCCATTCTCATGTGCTAGATGTGGACGCTTCCCATCATTCTGTAGGAGCCATTCTCCGCAATGCCAAAGGGGATATTATCTCACGTACATTTCGGGAGCTTCCGCCTCACCTTAGGCAAGAATCGAGTACAGCCCGAGAACTGTTTGCAATACATTTCGCATTAGACGCTTACAAAGAGTGTATTAATAACGTGTTGGTCAACACAGACAGCCAAAGTTCAGTTGCTGTATTCAATAAGGGCAGCTTAGCACTGCATTTACACCAAATGGCTCACAAAATTTGGTTTTTAGAGCAGAAACATGATATTCATGTTTCTCTTAGATGGATCCCTAGAGAATATAATAGTGAAGCAGATTGGGCAAGTCGCCTTATTGATTACGATGACTGGAGAATCGCAGACCGTATCTTTGAAGCGGTCACTAATAAATGGGGAAAACCCCAACGTGATATGTTTGCTAATGACAGGAATGCACGATGTGAGGAATTTTTTTCTAGATATCAATGCCCAGGAACAGCGGGAATCGACGCTTTTGCCCAGTCCAAGTCATGGCAAAATGGACTTCTTTGGTTAGTTCCGCCAATCAATATGATTTCAAAAACCCTTAAATGGGCACATAAACATGGGTCAAGAGGTATTCTGTGTTGCCCTCTTTGGAAATCCAACCTTTTTATCCATTGATCAAATCAGGTATTTTGCATGGGACAAAATTCATTTCAGATAGTATCTGTTTCCCCGTGGGGACTAAGTTATTCAGAGATCCTCAGATGCCAGGAACATTCGGGTCTGAGTTCTCGCAATCTCCTTTCGCATTCTTTCTGATAGACTTTGCTCAAGGGGCACGTCTCTGTAACCCGTACCACTCAGGTCCGCCGGCTTTGCAATTCCAACCCCGTTGAAGTTATGAACAATAGTTCAAAATGGGATTTATACCAGAGGTACGGAGGTATAAGTGATGTTTTGAACTATTGTGAAATTGGTACAGTACGTTGTACCAGGGATCACATGTTGTACCATAACAACATGAGATCACGCGATGTTTTGCAAGAGCGTGATCTCTGGTGCGAAGACGTGTGATCCCTGGATAGCCCGGATGGCTAGTCATCCAGGCTATTGCGCAAGCCAAGAGCGGTTTGCCCGCCCACCCACCCACGTAATTTCATATTTTGCAGCACCGAGATTCAAAGAAGCAGCAACGCTGGGGGTAAAGGCGGAACAGTTAGGAATGCTCCACATCAGTGATGCCATAATACATGCTGTCAACTCGGACAGGGCACCATCTACTATCAGAGTGTACACGTCGGAGATGCAAAAATTCCAAGCATGGAGGAGCAGCACCCATATATGAGTAGGATTCCCACTCCACAAGCTAGGAATCTATACCTGGCTAAATGTTCGGCAGAAGGAAGGCATAGATCGATGCCCACAGTCACAGCGGCGCTAAACTACTTCTGCGGTCCACTTCTGGGAGTAGATAAGGAGATTCAAAATTCTCTTCTCCAGGCAGTCAAGCGATCCTTACCACCCGGGCAACATCGCGCTAAAATTCAGCCCAGGCACATGTCACGGCTGATACATTTGGGCATAGCAAGCAATGACCCCAAGGTTACGCAAGCAGCTGCACTAGCACTTATTCAGTTCAAAGCGCTGCTTAGAATCAGCGAGGCTCAGAACTTGCGGTCGTCGGATGTCAAGCACATAGGTAACGGTGTATGGCATGTAAAAGTAAATAAGTCTAAGACAGACCAATTTTCAAAGGGAGCCACCATACCCTTCCGCTTTAGCGCTGAGGAAGCTCAGCTTTGGAGTAAGTATCTCATCTCGGTGGGTAATGCTACTTTCCTATTTCAGTCCGCATCTACGGGGCTACCCCTATCTAATTCTACTCTTCGGGATAGGCTTATGCATCTTTTTAGCAAGGCCAACTTGCGGCAGTTCAACCTAACGTCTCACTCTTTCAGAGGTGGGGTCAAAAAAAAAAAAAAAAAAAAAAAAGGCCCACGCAAGCGCTCAGTGTGGGAGTTCATCAAATTGACGTTATGCAGGCTGGGCGCTGGAGGACACTTAGTGGGTTTCAAAACTACATAGCACCCAAAGTCCTACCAATTTCTACATCTATCACTACTCATTGATACAATTAATGCCGCATGTACCACTTATGTAATCCTCTCTTTTTTATGCATCCTCATGTATAGGCTTTATGATGTGCCTTATGATCTCTTATTTGATCAAGTATTTTGGTATTACTCATCGTATTATTTGTTATACGCGAAAGTCTCTGTACACGCTTTGTATCACAGTAACGATAGCACATGCATTAATGAATTACATGCATAGATGTATATATCATATACCACGTACTTATATATGAATTGAACATGTACACGTATCCGCTCATGCGCAATAAACCTTACACACCAACCCCGTTGAAGTTATGAACAATAGTTCAAAATGGGATTTATACCATACGAAGTTATGTATGTTTATCGCAGGGTGATTTGAGGGGGCCATCGTTCCGTTGCCTTGAATGCCTGGGGTCGACGGCGAAACGGTGCAGAGATCGCATTGACGCACGTCGAACTGTTGCGCCGTTGCGTGTTTCACAGCACTTCGGTTCCTCGTTCGCGTGCCAAGTTTCGGGTGATCGATAGTAGAAATGCTTTCGTGAATTCGAATATTCGGATAATCCCAGAACTGTGAACAACTTCATCGCTGAAGCAGCCAACCGTGATCTATGAACATCAACTACAGCGAAGGAACGACAGCATTCTCAAACATTGTTGGTTTGGCGACCAACTGTTACTCGCGTGTGGCTCCTGCACCACCAGAGAAGCAGTGTTAGGCAGGCATGACGGGTTTTTTGGAGAGCTGAGGCTATGAAACAAACATGAAACGCCAACGCAAGCTGTTTCGGTGACAGCTGCCCGTCGGTGGTCCCGCATGGAACTTTCACCCGTCCTTTAATCAGCACAGCTCAGCCTCAACGTCACTGATTTTACAATGCGAATGCATAGCGTTTTAACCTGTTTGTTACGTGTACAAGCTTGCAATTCGCTTTCTTCTGATAGCACATAAGGATTTCAATTCGGTAATTATTCTTGCTGTCCGAAACTGACCAATTGTTAGGCGTGCTCTCGTTTTTGGTTCTTGGGAGTTGTGGTTGATGTGAAATTTCCAGGGTTAATCGGTGGTTCTTCGTGAAGAAGCATGCCGCCCAATTTCTTTCAAAAACCCGAGACTGCCCTTAAACGGGCGCAGGAGTTGATTCAGGTTGGAAAGGAATCTGATGCCCTTGATACGCTCCACGATACCATAAAGGTGAGGCCTTTGTTCTGTTTTTTTTTCTTTTTGAATTCATTTCATCATATCTATGAATAATGATTGCATTCTCTTGTATTAGGCCTATAGGCGATATAAACAATGACTCAAACTCACGCAGCAAATCTATGATGAAAACATTGTCGAGCTGTGTGTGCACCGAAACCTCACTTGCCGCAAAGTTCCTTTGTTCCAATATAGAGACACTACACACAGGTACGCTGATCTACTAGAGTCATCATGCAAGATAACGTGTTTGTTCTCGAAAATTGATTCTTCAAGGTGCGGTCAAATCTCTGGAAACTGTGATTGAGCACTTTTTACAAATGGCTGAGCAAAAAACTGAAGAGGCACAGAAGACATCTATTGAAAAAGTGGAGGAAATCGATGACCTCGATCAAGGAGATGTTCCAGAAACGTTAGTGCGTCATTCATAATCTGATATCTCGTTCTATTTGGCTTTGATGCTCCGAGTGTTTTTTCTACAAATATTGATCCTATTGCGATAGAATTACATTTATAGCGTATGCTTATACAAAGCTAGTGTGCGTCTAAAGTAAATTGAAATGAAGAGGCTCACATCAATACAAGGTGACGTCATTGTTCAAATTGAGGGCTTCTACTGCGTCTCTAAAAGTCGCGTTTGGAGTGGATCAGGTTATCTAAAGGGGCCCATCCTTGAAGAGGTGAAATGTGCGACAGATGCCGCCGCCTTCAGCAACCCCTTTTTTGCAAGGGGGAAATTCTTTACGATGCATGAAATATTCCGTCTCCGCTCTTACGCTCACCCGTAGCTTCCTTCTCCTGAAAAAAAAAGTATTACCGTAGGCTACATAAACTGTCGCAACCTAGTATGCCCCTCCTTACTGATCATACCTATGTGAGGTGTTATAAGGGAAAACGTTTGGAAAAAAATGACATCAGAACGCTATGCTGCCACAGCTTGCTTAGTTGTTGGATACAGCCAACCCCTGACCATTCTTGAGATTGAATCGGAAGAAAAAAAGTAGCATTGTGATACCTGTCAACCACAGTTAAAACTAGAACCTCGAAGCATTTTCGGATTCGACGGCGCCGCTATAGCGCCAGAGCACTCAACAAGTAGGAGGAATGGCATCGAACTTTCGCAAACGAGAATATATCAAAGAACATGTCAGCAAAAACTAGTTCCATTCTAACATGTGAAGAGGCGTTAATTTTGATATTTTGGTTCTTTAAACTTCGATGTGGTATGTTTCGGTGATCGAAAGTAGTTTTTCATCACTCACAACTTTTCAGCAAAATCAGCACTCGCTTTTAAGCATAATTCTCGCAATAGTGGATGTTCTGAAGTTTTCATCAATTTTTCTTTTTTCAAAGTAATTTCGAACGATAATCTAAGTTTTAAGTTAAGCTGCCAATTTACAATTAGGTTCATGAAAAACTACGCCTAAATGTTGCGAGATTTCGCAAGGCTGTTCGAAGTATATTACAGAAGAGTAGCTGAGGATTAGTTTCCCACAATTTATGCGTTGTTTAGGCTTCTTTTGTCAGTTGTTTCTGGAGCTGCAGCCCAAGATCGTATGGACAGAACCGTACTTGCGCCTTGGCTACGATTTTTGTGGGATTCGTACAGAAATTGCCTCGAATTGTTAAGGAATAATGCACAGGTTCGTTTCTCCCTTGGACCGATCAGGTGGCTTGACGGGTTACACCGTTAGTATAGTAGTTGATATGTCACGCTCATTTAAGGTTGAACATTTGTACCACCGCATAACCAGGAAATCTTTCCAATTCTGCTCAAAGTACCAACGCCGAACAGAGTTCAGGAAACTGTGTGAACTGTTGCGCCTACATTTGAACCAGATTCAAAAACATCAGCATTTGGCCCATGTGTAAGTTCATACATTTCTCATATCCTTCCCTCAAACATAACAAGCGATTTATTTTTGTAGCGTGACATCGATTAGGCCGGAGTCCTTATCAATGATGCAGGAAACACGTCTGTGCCAGTTGGATACTGCTATACAAATGGAACTCTGGCAAGAAGCCTATCGGTAGGGTAGTGAAGTCTGGTTGAAAAATTGCTTCATTTTCTCTGATTGGTTCGTTACAGTAGTGCCGAAGATGTTCACGGAATGATGCAGCTCAGCAAAGACAAGGACAAACGCATGGTAAAGCCCGCTAGTTATGTGAATTATTACGATAAGGTATGTGGAAGATTCACTATAATTTTCTGTTTCAGTACTTGATAGGTTTCTAACATTTCTAATTTAGCTTGCCTTAGTGTTTTGGAAAGCTGGAAATAGTCTCTTCCATGCAGCAGCTCTTCTCCAGAAATTCATAATTTATAAGGTTAGCCAGCCGTATTCGGCCCACCTTCATTGGGTCATATTGAGCGTTATAAAAGACATGTCCATGTCATTTCAGGAAGCAGAAAGGTTCTTCACCTGCAGATGACTCAAACGAGCAAAGCGAGTCGGTTTGGCTGCACGTTATCTATACCGGACGGAGCCGATGCTCCTTCAGACCTTACTCGTCATTTGGATATTGAGGATCAACATCTCACTAACATTCGGTAGACTGATAGTTGTTTCTATAGTTCACTCTTTGCTGAAGAAGTGGTAAATGTTCAGGTTACTCCTCGAAATTTGCTCCGTCTTCCCATTGCTCCTACGCGTGCTGGATTATTGAGAGAAGCCGCTCGTCTCGGCGTCCCAGAGATGGCTTCGGAATCGACCAACGCGTTGTATAAGCTACTAGAGAATAATTTTGCTCCTCTTAGGTGAGTTTTGCAGCTTATAAGGGAAGAGAATGGCAGTCTGAAAGTGGCCGTTTGCGATAAGGTGGATGACCACCTTGGAATTTCGAGCGGCGATTCCAAATCTGTTCATATATCTGCTAAAGGACTCTGAACGAAAATTAAGAGTTTGTAGGTAAACGGAGCAGACCCAGGCTCGGCACAAATTAGATGCATATAGAGCATGGGAGGCCTGGATGCTATGCCGGCCTTAAGTCTGCGAGGTGAAGGGTGTCAATCGCGAGGTTAAGGGTGTCAATCCTTAGTGTGCTGCGTATTGTGTATTTTTTAATACTCTCTGAAGATGAAGAGAACATAAAAACTTGCGATAGTAACGCATGCAGCACAGCAGAGTGTGTTTTCCCCTCAAACGGGTACTATATTCGTGTTCAGGAGCTCAAACTTCATACGGCACACTTCTGTTCAAATTGAGATTTTCACCCTCACATCGAAAAGGTGGTGTAACACTGGGCAGTGGTCTACTGGCTTTTTCGGTGCTTATTCACCATCTTCATCAAAAACTTGAGTCTGAATATCCATTCAGCCTCTAGCCACGAACAATATGGCGTCATGTTAAAAATTTGCCAATATTGCTTGAGCGATCGATTGGCTACCATCTGTAGTTGTGTTCAGATGAACTCGTTCTGAGAGAAGTAGTAGCGTCCAAAGGTGGCGGGCGTCGTTCAAATATTCGTGTTGCCCCTCGATCACCTCGATAGATGGAGTTCCAAAAATAAACATCTTCTTGCGCAGAGGTTGCAATCGAGAGCTGGTATCGAAGACACCAGTAATCAGGAAGGGTACTATCGATGGCTCCTACACTCTGCTAATGTAACGGTCCAAATCGCGACTTGTCTAGAAATTTTGCCCGAAGGGGTAGTCTGATCTCCCGAACTGAGTGTCACTTTCGCTTCCCATGAACTTCATTTTTGCGCTGCGTATGCCTGTGTGCCGCAATGTCAGAGCCTGATAATCCATAATCCAAAAAAAACTTCTTCAAAAAGCGAACTGTGGATAAGCAATCGCGGTTGGTTCAAGATAATCTGCCTATTGTTAGCGTCTGACGAAAAAACCTAATTTAAGTACGCAAGCGGACTCGATCCCCTGGCGTTGATCCTACAAATCCGGACTTTTATCCTCTAGCCGATAGTGCCACATATAGCGCAAAAACCTTCGTAGTTTTGTTCGCAGTGTCGTTTAGCAGGTATGGAAGACGGATTTGGAATCGGATGCAAAGACGCTCAAACGTTACACAGCTCATCTTGTTAGATTGAAGTTTATCATATAAGCAAAACGTGTTGTAGGTTAGCTAGAGAAGTTGAAGCTCAGCTGTCTTTGATTGAGCGTCCTGATCACCTCCAGTATGTTGACGCGCTCAACGAAGTTGTAGCTACAAAGGCCTTAAAACAAGTGAGTGTACTTATCTATCCGTGTGAGAGTGGATAAAAATTTATGTTGTTTATAGATATCAGTCATCTATGACTCCATAAGTTGGGCTCGCATACGAAAGATCATCCCATTTTATAATGAGATGGAGCTCGAGCGCCTTGTGGTTGATGTTAGCAAACATCGATTTGTCAAGGTAGGCATTTCGATTAATGCTTCTCTAACTGACTGATTGAGACTGTTTATACTAGCATCATCATCATAGATCGTGATGTAAATCTTGAGTTTTTGGTAGGGTATGCAAATGTAAGCACTAGTTGGAATGAATCATCCGTTAACACTCCTATTATAGGCACAAATCGATCATCGCAGCGGCTGTATCCGTTTTGGAGCTGCAGACGCCACTTTAGCAGGGGGAGTGGACTTAGAAGAGGCGAATGGCTTCACGGGTTAGTTGCTCCATTCCATTCTTTTCATATGCATTATTACAGTTTATAATGTGGATACTGAGTGGTGTTTGTTTAAAGGTGATGACACTCAGCTGGGCGTTGAAGGGATACGTACTCATTTGGAAGTGATGTATAACAAGCTACGTTCGACTGTGGAACTCTTGGATGGTGACAAGCGTACTGAGGCTCTCATCGCCAGGGTATGCCAATCTTCCTTTTACACACCTTTCCACACGTTTTGAAAATAAGATTCTGCTTTCGAATAAGGTTCTCGCATCTCTTGTTTTCTTGAGCTATAGGACGTTTTTGCTTACGACTTCAGGTCAAACACCATGCAATTAATTACGAGCGAACGAAAAATAGCAAGCAAGAGACAGATCGCATACTAGAACGTCGTCGAAAGATCGAATATTACAAGGTCAGTTATACCTATAACAATTTGTTTTTTTTTCTGTTTTGCTGTGAAGCTCCTCCCATTTATTGTGTTTCTTCATTGTTGACTATTCTTCACGTGATTTAATTCTGAATACCTCCGGAAAAAGGACTGACTCCATCACATGTGTGTCAGATGATTCATTAATTTGAAATGACATCTTTTCGCGCGGTAAGATGCGTATGCCATTAGCAGTAAACTATTATCGATTTGGTATTCATCATATAGTGTATATTAGTCAGTTTAGCACAAACATTTAACAGCGCGATAAGTTCATAGGATCAATCTATTCCTATTCATCATATAGTGTATATTAGTCAGTTTAGCACAAACATTGAACAGCGCGATAAGGTCATAGGATCAATCTATTCCTAGAACAATATAGCCGTCTACGGGGATCACAGATGTGCCGTTGTCGTGGCTGAAAAGAGCGACAGGGGCGTTTGAGCCTTGAGTGAACAAGCCAAAGCAAATGAACAAGGTCCGCTTTCACATAATGCAGCGTGGATTATGACGTAGCGGGTGAAATGCGCGTAGGTTCGTGGGGCCAATGAGCCAACAAGCTCTGAATTTGTCCGAATATGCCCACACCACATCCCAGGCAGAGGAGAGAGGCCCTGTTAAACGCTCATTTGTTGCTTCTCTTGCTTTTTTTCTTTCAATCAACTCTGCTCCCCGTTTTCACTATCGAGCACTTACGCGAACGACCAGATTCTGGGTTGTTGCTTCAATAATATCGTAGCCGTCCAGTTTACAGCCTAGGCTTTCAACAGTTTATGGAAGGATTACATGGCCCTGTATATGTATCGTGGTCTCTTGTAAGCGGCTATAGCAATGAAATACTTAGCAGTACATAAACCAGTTTTTGAAATAGGTGTTTTTTTTTAAATCTTCTCAGAATTTTTCTCTCTTCAGGAGACTTCAGAGCGAGTCAAAGCAGAACGCTCACAACAAGCAGCAGCCGAATTAGCGAAACGTGAGGAAGCTAAGCGTGCTGAAGAAATGAAACGTTTAGAGCAGGAAAATATCGAAAGTGAGAAGAGGAGACGACAAGCAGAGCAGGTAAAATTCTAGGCTTGAGTTGCCCATCCAGCTGAATAGAACAAAATGTGATGAGATTTTCAGGAAGAAGTGCAAAGAAAAATCAAGCAAGACCAACTACGCAGAATGCAAAATACTGCGATCTATCAGGCTATTATCAGGGAGAAAAGGCGAACAAGTGTTCAAAGGACATGGACCCCGAGGCTGTGCTTAGGGAACAGGTTCGTGATGTTTGCCTTCACACGTGCCTTGGTCACGACATTATCCTTGTTCAATTCTTGAAAATGTTCCACTCTTGTACTCTTGAATTCGTTTTAGCGTCAACGTCTGGATAAAGAACGAATGGAACGCAACGTCGTCTCCAGCAACAGGACAAAACTTTCGACCATCACGTTAGAGCAGTACATCTTGAGGAAATGTTAGAAAGGTGCGTTTCTTTTCCAAGGGTAACGATCTGTCTGGTTGGTATTTGTAGTTTTATTTCTAGGTTTTGTGGGAGCTAACTCAGGGGTCAGGATAAAATAAAAAATTTTGTAGGAAAGCTGTAATGATGAAGCGGTTACAAGAAGCTCCGAAATTGCACGAGAAATATGAGCAAAGAAGAATACAGAAAGCCATGTAAGAATGTTCTATAATTATTGGTTTTAGAACTTTTTTTGTTCACGAATGTATTCTTTCAGAGATGATCATAATCTCGCAGTTTGCATATGGGAGCGTTTAGAAAATATACGAGAAGACGCAATGGATTGGATTGAGCAGGTCAAGTCCTCGAACGCAGAAGATTTTGCAAGGAAGGTAGGTTCTTCTCGACGTTTAATTGTTTGTTACGTTTATCTTTTGATGACCACGAACGTGTCTCAACATTATTAAATTTGAAGACTGCTGGAATGGAGCAGCAAACTTAATGCAGTGCGAGCAGCTCGCCTGCAGGAAAGAGCTGAAAATCGTAAGAAGGAAAGACGAGAGAAATGGATACGAGTAAGATTCCTACATTGTTCATTTTTAAGTTGTGGTCTAGTTTTTGAGAGTTTTTCTTTAAGTTCTGGTGAATTTCCATTTTCACATTCTAATGCTGGCAATTTCTAGGCCAAGTTAGATGAGGAGCGTCGTCGCCGCGAAGAAGAGGAACGTCAGCGTCAACAGCTGATAGAAGAACAAAGGAGAGCAGCGAGGGAACCACGCGTGAGTAATTATTTTCAGTGAGTCATTCAATTTAGCATCTAATCTTTTTAAGGGTCCCAATCGCCGTGAAATGGATATGGATTCTAAGGCGATGGCAGATTCTGACTGGCGAGGAGGAGGAGGCCGGGAACGCCCTGTTATGGCAAATCGTCCTATTCCAAGTCGCGATCGTGATCGCGACTTCGGAGAGCGGCCACCCATGAGAGAACGAGAGGTATTTGCATCTAATGCAAAAAATTGAATTAATTCCCTCACGTGGTAGTGAGAAAATGACATTTCTGTGAGAAAGAAGTGGTTGCAAAGTGAGACGATTTTTTTAGAATATCATTTCGCAAGCTGATAGAGACGATTCTTGGAGAAGTGGTATGGGTACCGCTCCACCGCCTCCCTCAGGATTTCGTGAGCGACCTACTCGTAAGTATCAACTTGTGGTCAAAGTCGTTGTCGAGATTCTCATTATTCTTGTTAGCAACGCCACCAGCGAGTATTGCGGACAAAGATGTGTCATGGCGGAGTGGTATGGGAACTGCACCGGCTCCAGCTGCACACTCGACTGGTTTGTTTCAGTTCTTTGTTCAAAATAAGACGTGGTAGGATTACTCGTACCCAGGTACTGCGATAACATTTTGAAGTAGCGGTTCCGAAACCAATGCTAATTGTAAAAATTACTTCAAATTTGGCAATTTAAAAAATACTAGCTGTGTTGAAATTCGCCCTCAACATTTTCACAGTTATTCAAACGTTTGATGATCACTCTGCATGCGGTTTGCAGAAAATCCTCATAAATTTTCTCCCACGATTTTGAAAGCCCTCTCTATTACTTTGCAGATTTGAAAAACATGAGTTTGCTCAATATAGCAGGCTTTTTCCCAAGTCAGTCATCAAGTTGTTGTAAAAACATTCTCGTGTTACAGTGCCATTTCAACAATATACGAAAATTTGACCCAACCACAAAAAAATTGATTAGTGAGGCGCGAATGCGTATTCGCGCCACACTAATCAATTTTTCGATGACTACACATCATAAGCCATTGGTACGGGGAACTGCGTAAGGTTCGAAAAATCTCTAAACATGTGGGTGCGCCAGTAATTTTTCCCCTGTAGCTGGCTCAACTTTCATGAAGGCCAGCTCCGGAGTTCCGTTCTGTTAAGTCTACAGCGTTTTTTAAGATGGTCCAATGCGAAGAGGCTCCTCCAGTAAGTTCTGCTCCATCAGAAGGAATGTGGACCAGAGGAAACGTCGTCAAGAAGGATCCACCGCCTCCGAGTGGTATAATTAGACTTAAGTCACCATAAGTATGTTGTCTTTTTTAGAAGGGTTCTATATTACAGCAGCTCCTACGAAACCTGCAGAAGGTGGGAAGTTCATACCATCCAGACTTAGAAATCAGGCACAACAAGGTATACTTTATTTTATGCGTTCCTTTTATGTTGCGGGTTTTTAACCAAAATTAAGGAGGAATACCGCCGCGTGACATGGGTACTACTCGTCCAGAACGTCCAGAAACAAGGCGAGTACCACCCCGAGGGCCTGGCGCTGAAAGTGACACAAACTGGCGGAGGAAGTAATAGCGGTCTTGTTTTGTTATGTTTTTCACTCGCTCTTCATCACTATATGTCTATTCTTCATACGACTTTCATGGACTGTTGAGTTTGTTGTTTGCCTCTACTACACATATGTTTCTAATGGTTCTCATAGCCGGTAGCATTCACGCGTGGTGTCAAAGTTCTATCTATTTAGGTGTGCTGCGTTTTATGACAAACTGTTGATGAATCACAATTTCTTTATTATTTACTCTATGACACTAAACATTTGACTTAAATGTTATTATTTTTATCACAAAGGATTGAGATATTGCATGATGTTGTTTACGACATTAAGACTGCTTGGTAGTTGAACGCTGAAAAAGAGCGTTTTTCACTACACATCCGGCTGCCGAAAAATATCGAAATATCTGTTGCACGTCATAGTTTACTGCCAAGTTTTTCTCGGTTGACTTCAAGAAAAAATAAAGAACCAAAAGTTATATCCAAAGTCCAAGGTCGGCATTAAGCTACCATACCAATCCCTTCCATCAGTTAGGGCGTGCTCATGTGCCCACAGAAATGACCCAACGCTCGTAATTCGAAAAAGCGTAGTAGTAAGACCTTCGGAGAAGTATGGTTTGTTGTCGCCGCCTGGCGTTAGCTATGGCCGTTCCCCGCGGGAATTGGTGCGTGGCTGGCGTAGGGAGTGAAATCAGTTGGGTTGATCCATATCATTTGTTGTCACGGTGACAGTCTGGCTGGCAGTCTCAAAAACTCGTTCGTTCAAGGCTTCCTGCTATCCGCACCCTCTTCGCTGTGGTTAGAGAGGTTGTTCTATAATATTTCAGAGCGAGTAGAAATAACTATCAGCAATTTTGTCGCCCATAGAAGTGCAGTTTTGTGCAGGTGAAAGATTGATTCATAACTTTTTGATAATACGTCCAAATTCGAAGGTACAAATCGCGATCAAATAGGTGTGCCATTTAGTTCGAAAATCAGTCAAAAAGAGCAATGGGGAACGTCCTTGTGGAGAAAAGCAAAAAGTGTCATAGAAAGCACTGGAATCTTCCTTCTTGTGATGAAGGCTGTGGCATCGCGGAGAGAAACAGTGCTGCGAAGAGGGGGAAAACGCGACAGAGTACGCGATACGCGAGAGGCGCAAATGCCACGCGTGCTGCGATTAATAAGGATGGCAGCACGGAGTATACTATCCGCACTACACTTGGCTGTCTCCCCGCTTTCATTTCCAAAAGGCACCCATCTTATCGTAAAACGAGCTTTCAAATTGACCTTGATTGTATTGTCTGCAGTAACTTCTGAGGGAGGATTCGACGATAAATGCGAAAGTGGAAGAAGGGGATTTTGGGAAAGAGAGACATACAGACCCTCTTACAATGCGGACCGAGGTGCGATTCGCAGCGATGGGCACGCCCGACGACCTAGCATACCCGCGGTGTTGTCGACGCGGTACGCCCACCAACAATAAGCGACTAACCACTTGCCGCTGGTCAGCCGTTTAGCAGAGAGAGCATTAGCGTTGAAGAGGGCAGCACCGACCAGAGTCGCATCAACGCGGAAATCAACAGACAAGGAAAGGGTCCCATTCTTGGCTCCTGGACCGTTTTTCATAGTTTTTTTTTTCATCCTGGCACCACTGAACACCTCTGCCTCAATTCTAGTAGACTGCCTTCTGATCGTAAATTCCACCTTTAAGCTACAACCGATGCTATGGAGACAACCGGCGCTATTCCGCCGCTCGAAGCGATATGGAATGTAGCCAGAATATCGGTCAGTGTAGATGGAATCGGAACAAAAAATCTCAAGTTAGAGGTAAACTAAATAAAAATCTTTCTGCACATTCACCACTCATTACCGCTTTTCAGCCTTGTCCACGACTATCGTCGTCTTACCGTCGCAGTTGTGGACTGGATGATCTGTCTCACCCTCACACTGCGTTCACGGCTTCCATCGATTCGGCGTTTCTGTTTCGTAGTGACCGTTAGAGGAGTCCTACCACTCCTCTCAGGTTGCTACGCCGGTTATCCTGCACCGATGAACTCTGCCTACACGATTCTCGCTCCAGAGAAGTAAGTGGACATCATTTCCCGGTGACCGTACAATGTTTGCCTGGACAATCCAGTGGGATCTGTTTTGATAGTAGAGAATGACAAATTCAAATGATGCGTCCCAAACTGGACCTAACGTAAAGGGAAGAAAAAAGTAATCCTTCTATTTTATAAAGCGCTAACTTTGTGTGTCGGTTTGTGTATCTGTATGTGTGTGTGTGTGTGTATGTATGTATGTGTGTCCGTCCGCAAAATGAAGTGAGTGAGAAGGAAGCTCATGGGATAAACAAACCGCTAACAAATCGGGTAGCTTACAGGATTTGAGATATCAATGTTTTGTAGCAGGATAGTTGTGATAACACTCTTAGGGCTATATAAACACCTGCTTAGCACACTTCCGTTCATTCCACATGGTGCTGCAGTGGCAGCTGGAGGGCAGTGGAGAGAGGAAGGGAGGATGAGGAAGGGAAGCGAAAAAGAAGGGACCATAGCGGAGGATAGAAAGCTTGCGCATTAAAGGAAGGTCCCGGCGGTTGACGGGGGACTAATCTGGTAAAGATAAAAAATGTAGGCAAAACTTTGAAACCACCATCTCTGCCAGGCTAGTCTGGCATCGCTTTAATGGTGTACCCTCTATTTCGCAAACTGAAAAGAGCGTCGAGTGCAGACCACACACACAAGTTACGACCAAGAAAAAAAAAGAAAAAGAACCACATTTCTCTTGGCCGTCGTCACTTCTGATGTGCAGTCTGCACTCGACGCTCTTCTTGTTTCGGAATAGAGATTAGAAATGGAGGTGGTTATTGGGTCACGAAGGTGATGACAGTGTTTCTTGTACTGTCTCATCTTATCACCACTGTCGTTTCAACAGCATGAAACGTTCATTTCAAATGATCCCAAAAAGCTGGCCGTGTCGTACTCCGCGTCATTATTTCGAATGCATATACGAAAAGGTGTGCCAGAATACTTCTTTTCAGTTTTCAGAATCAGGAAGAAGCCTCCGCCCCCCGTCGTGGCCAAACGAAAACCGAAACTGTCGAAGAAACAAAAGAAGGGCCTGAAAGTGCGCCGTAAGCGGGCCGAAAGGATGAAAAGGCAAGCGGACAAGATTTATAAGGAGGCACAGAAACACAAAAAGAAGTTGATGAAGAAGGCGGTGGGTACACGCCTATCATCAAATATGCGTCTTTTCATAATTTCGTAGTTATTCGGAAAGTAATGCAGTTTTCAACACATATCTTCAAAGCGGTACGTCCTAGCTCGAAGTGTCCCTGATTGATTAGTATGAAAACTAGGAAAAAAAAAATAAAAAAAAGAAAACTAAGACTAATTTGTCGTCGGGCCTGACGAAGGTGCTAAGCACCTAAATATTGCAAGTTATTTTGAAAGCTTTTGATATTCAGACTTTTGAAGCTTTTTGAAATAAATTTTTGGAGCCTCAAACTGTTGTTCGACATTCAGAGATCTTTATGAGGCTTCGGGACAGCACTATTCTAAAGTATGGAAACTGCTAGATTTTGTAACTGCTATTTTTGTTTGTAGTTCGCCTCAGAAAAGTCAACACAAGGCTGCTGAACTATAGACAAAAAGTTTCGCCTCAAAATGGGATCAAACCCGTACCTTCACCGGCAGTTGTGCTGATGATAACACTGTTAAGCCATGGGTCGGGATTAGATGCCAATAGCCAGTTCCTTCTAGCAGGTCCCCAATGGCAGGAGGTGAGACACTGTCACGACTCAAAAATAAGAGGCAATGGCACTAACTCAGCCTAGTATACTGTACTATAGGATTAGGTGTACGGGTCTGAATTATTCCACCATACCAAGAGGGCCACTTAGGAATGTTGAATATGGTTTAAAGTCGTTGGAATGGAGAAGATTAAGGTATGACTTGCTCATGACTTTCAAAATTCTAAGGAGCCTTGTTAACCTGGACGCATCTGACTTTTTCCAAGTGCTGCCGTGCAGCAGAAGAGGTGCATCGATTAGGCTGACAACGTCTTTTGCTAGAAACCGATGCAGGTCGAACTTCTTTAGCAATAGAGTGCGTTCTTATTTTAATCGTATTTTACGCTCCAATTTGTTCTCTTTGAAATATGTTACGTTTAAGAAAAGCATTGGTGAGATGATTTGAGTTGAGGCGGTTTTTGTTACTTGGTTGTTGTTTCTGCTACTGTCTTTATTTGAGTTGTTCCGTTACATGTGTATGTTGCACATGTCAATAAAATAAATAAAATAAAATAATATAA